TAAATGCAACGATGACAATAGTATTACAACGTATGTGATACTTGTAACTATGTCACTTGAGTTACAGAAGCAACATGAGAGTATAGATACTAACATGCTAACACATGATTTTTCATTTTAAAGAGTTGTATGATAATAATTATATGTGGAAGGATATGAGACTTCCAAACAACTATACTGATGCAAAGTGACAAAAGAATATTCAATCATTCCTCATGTACTGAAGATGATTGACATGAGAAGTGTCTCAATTGAATGCAATCATTAACTATGAACTAAGTATTGACTTAGCTCTACAATCTCCGTCATAGAGTTATTCATAGAAAGCGCCTAATATGGTTGAGACAGTCGAAGCAAAGGACAATACCAAATCTAATGACCATTGGTTTCATTAAAGAATGAAAGGTCATTGGAAGGAATATTGTGTGGCTTACGTCTACTTCACGAGCTTTTTAGGTATTTGATACCAGATGTAGATCTCATATTTATGCAAATATGAAGAAACTAAATAGAAGTAGACCACTGCGAAAGGGAGAAGTTGACCTACACGTTGGAGATGAGCAAAGGTTGCTGCATTGCCTATAGGAATATACTTCTTGCCATTGCCTTTTGGTTTAGTATTGGAATTAGAGAAATGTCGCTTTATACCCACCATAGCTGGAACATTAAAGTGAATTTCATGTTCGGATATGAACTATTTTAATGTTAAGGAAAATTGTTGTTCTTGTTTATCTTGATAAAGATCCTAATGGTTATGGTAAATTACAAAATGACGTTTATACTCTTTAATACTAAGGATTCTATGATGAGTATAGAAATTATAAGGCATAAATGAGATAATCTGATTATTACCAAAATCTAGCATGACAGACTTTTTCATGTAGATGAAATACAATTCCAAAGTTACATAAAGATGTATACTCGGGATTAATTAATTTTGACAAGTACAAATTATGCATGTCTGACACAATAACCAAATCTTTTTTTACTTGAAAATAAGAAAGGTCAGCATAATTACTGATCTAATGCATAGTGATGCATATGGACTCATGTCAATTGATGTCAGGTAATATTTATCTTATTTCATCAATGATCATGTATACTTGATGAAAACTCAAACATGAAATTCTTGAAAAGTTCAAGGGATTCAAATTGGAGTAGAGAAACGAATATATAGAGATATTCTCGCATCAAGATTTGATCGAGATGGGAAAATCTTAAAGATAAAATCTAGATTATCTAAGAGAGAATGAGATTCTCTTGCAGTGAAGTCCTTCACATACATTGCAGCATAGTGGTGGATCTAAAAGAAGGAATTTGAAAGAGTTCAAGAGTCCACAGATATGGTTAACCAAGTAGATAAATCCAATTTTGATCCCATATCTGATATGGGACATACTCTTGATCAGGAAGTAAAGACTCTTGAGGACATATCAGCTCTATGTGAGTCTAGTGGAATCATTCGACCTTCAAGAAGGTGGGAATCTGTGATCACTAATCAGGTATTACTGATCCAGGATAATGAACCTACTAATTACACAAGAAATAAAGTCAAGCGTTGACTTAAAAAGAGATAGAAAGAGGCCATGAAACCAGAGGTGAACTCGACGTATGTGAACAAGGTTCGGACCTTCATCGACCCTCCTGATGGGATCAAATCCATAGGTTGTAAATGGTTTACAATAAAAGATTGACAAGAATGAGAATATACATACATACAAATGCAAGGCTAGTAGCAATAGGTAACAAATAAAGACGATTTGTTGACGACTTTAATGAAACCTTTCACCTGTAGTCATGCTGAGATCCATTCGGATTTTGCTTGCAACAGTTGCATACCTTGACTATAGGTTAAGAGAAGTCTTTTGGAGCTGAAATCTTCGATTTGATGAAAAAGTCAAAGTGTTTGATTTTATCAAGTGTGAAGACGAATTGTGTGTTTACAAGTAGATAGTGGGAGCATTGTCGTATTCCTAATATTATAGAAAACGACATCCCTATATTTCAATTGTTGAAATAATGGTTGTTAAATGATTTATTCATGAACGATATGAAACAACTTAATCTATAGAGATAGATCTAGAAAATTGCCTAACTCATCTTAATTTACATAGATAAAATCTTGAGAAGATTTCATATGGAGAAACTGGTTTACTTTTAAGCGGAATGTTAGAAAGATTCCAAACATGAAGCAACCGTTAATTCAATAGTAGAAATCTAATAAATGATTACTTCAGAAGTAGCAAATAGTTGCAATATAGATCATGATGTCCATAAATAAACTTGGAGTAATTCCTGATATTATTGATCACATGCCATTGTATTGTGATAACAATAGAGTCATCGCGAAAGCGAAGGAACTAATGTCTCATCAATGATCTAAACATGTATTAAGACGGTATAATCTCATCAGAGAGATAATACATAGAAATGACGTAAAGAGAAGAACAAATTCTCACATTTAACAATACTGCAGATCCACTGACAAAGAGTTGTCTAGCATAAACACGATCGTCATGTAGACTCTTATGATATTGGTTACATAAGTGATTGGATTTAGTGCAAGTGGGAGTTTGTAAGTGTTATGCCCTAAGTCCAATCAACCTTGGACATAAATACTTTTAATATATAATTAATGCAATTTAATGACGGATCTATTATTTAATTAATAGACAATTAAATAAATAATAGAGTCCGTAAATTCAAATTTTCGTAATTTGTTAATCACTGTGAGATACAAATTATATATGATTGAATCTTAAATCGTTCGTGGTCGTAAATAATAACGAGATACAGATATCGTTATTACGGATAGACCATCACGTGTGGCATTTCTTACTTGTGAAGTAAGTAGCTGATCTCACAGGCTAATGTGTGGTGACACTTAAATGAACACGTGAATGTTTTGTTATAAAACAAAACATTGGAAACCCGCCAATAGATTTCACAAGGATAACTATCTGAGTGTCAGTGGTTAATCTCTAATGTTTGGTAGTGGAATTGATCCTTTGACTTGAGGTCGCCATGGTAACTTATATGAGAACAGTCATATTTTGACGGTGTTGGATGTTGCTCTGCAAAGGGCCGCTAATACGACATCGTTCGGGTACGTCGAGAATCATATGAAGGTTGTGAATGACCAATAAATGATTCGTTACTCTTAGATAGTAAGAGATTATGATCTGCGTTTCATTCAATTAAGTCGATAACGAAATCCTTGACCAAGGTGTACTCATAAGTCGAAAAGGAGTTTTAGTAGATCATATTGACGAAGGGATTATAGTTTCACGGTAAACGAACGAGTTTGATTTTGTCAGACCACATGATACTCCCCGTTACATGTATTGCCCTGACACATCGCTAGATGTCAATCTGGGACGGGGAGTATGAATTAGTGATAAATTAAAATGGTGTTTTAATTTATCAATTTTGATTAGATCAAAATAATATTTCATGTCGTTAGGCATCGTGATCGGGAACCTGATGGGTCGCACACAAAAGAGAATTGGAAAATTACAATTTGTCAATTAATTAATTTAACAATCGTTGTATAAATTAATTAATTGGGTTGGTTATTTATAAGCCTGAATTAATTAATTGGATTAGTTAATTCACAGACCGAATTTAATTAAATTGATTAATTAAATATTGGACTGGACCAGGTCAGACCCGTTTGAGCTTATATAAATACATGGCTAGGGTTTTCAATTTATATATTTTCTCATAATTTCTTGCTAGCACAAGAGGAGATAACCCTGGTAGCTGCAATCTGTTCTCTGTGTGGATCACCGTTGGAGGCTGGACAATTGGACAGCTGTGGGTGACGAATCAAGATTGTTGGAATGAAAAGAATAGCAAAGATGTTTGTAGATCTGGAAAAAGGTACAATTTTTTCACAATTTCTATCTAAATACAAAGAGATTCCTGGTGAGAATCGAAAATCATTTTAATTTCTGCTGCGCATGTTAAGTAGATTCCCAACAGAGATTGTCCTAACTAGCCACGACCCTATTTTAAGTGCACATTTTAATAAATCTAGGAATAAAATCTGACTTAATAAAGTGATAGATGACCCTACTTTAAGTGCTTGTCTAAAATTATTTTCTGCACTTTTTTTTTTGGATTGTTTGCATAATAAATATACATGATCAAATATATGTGAACTCAAAAAGATTTTTAATTATTTATTTGAAATTTATTTTTACTTTTTTTGAAAAATTTGGGAATATAGTTGCAATTTATTCTTTATTTTTCTTTATTTTTTTAATTTAAAGAGGAGGAATATTTGACATTTTGTAGCTTTTAATTAAGAAAATGGACAAAAATAAAGATTTTTGCAATGAAATATGCATTGAGGTTGAAAATGTCAAAATGTGAAAGGTAGAAACGTTTTGCTCAATAATACTGAAATGTATGGACGTTTTGTGCTAATTACCCTTTTAATAATTTATTTGGACTCATTTTCATTTTTAAAAAGAGTTTGGGAGTATGATTACAATTTATTTTTTAACTTTTATTTTATTTTTTAATATTTTCTTTAAATAGGGGTTATATTTATCATTTTATATGAGAAATTTGATAAAAATGGTGATTTTAGCAATAAAAGATAAAGGTAAGGGTAAAAGTGTCAAAAAATGAAAGGTAAGGACGTTTTGTGCTAATTATCCATTTCAAAGTATCAAATTTTTAAGTTAGTCGGCTTAAAGGCACTAAATATAAGTCAATTTTTTTTCTTAAAATTTATTTTCAACTAAATATTTTTTCAATAAAATAATTTTGTGTCTAAATTCATAACTTTTTAATCATACATTCTCTAAAAATATTATTTTTCATAAAATTTATTTTCAAAAAATCCACATTAAGCTGGTCTTCAAATAATATTTATAAAGTTGATGACCAACTTAGTATTTATACCAACAAATCAGGGACTATTGGTGTAATATTCTCTTTACATTTATATCTACTGCTGACTTCATTAAATTAAATAATATCCGCACATATATACGAGTGAAAGATGACCCAAAATCAAGCTCAATTTGAATAAGTCCCATAATGGCTTCTGCAATTTTTACTCCCAATTCATATTTGTCTTCTTTGTCAGCTAAGCCCTCTATATGTGCTTTCTCAAATTCAGCAATTATAGTCCCCAAAAACGTGAGTTTTCAGTATTTGAAATGCATTCGTCAACCGAGTGTTGGTCCTTTTTCTCCTTGGAACGGTCTTAAGAATATGGGCATCTCAATCTCGCAACGTTCCATTAAAATAGGTACTGCTCCTCTAATTTGGCGGGCTTGTGCAATTATTGACAGTTAAAAAATAATAATAATAATAAATAAATTGTATTCAAATATGTGCATAAATTTATTATTGCTATAGATAAATTTCGATCGAAATGGGCATTTTAAGGTCTTTTGGTAAAAAAAAGTTCTTGCTTTTGAGCATTTGATGTTATGGGTTTTTGCAGAAAGAAAGGGCAAATGTACAGGTAAGGGAGCATATGCATCTCTATTTGGAGTTGGGGCTCCTGAGGCTCTTGTCATTGGAGTGGTGGCTTTGTTAGTTTTCGGGCCAAAGGGTCTTGCTGAGGTTAGTATTAATTCTTCCTTTTTGGGGGTGCGGGTTCAGAACTATAGACCCCTCTTTATCTCATATTTACTGCATAATTCTTGCCGAACTTTTTGAATCTTAATTTTTTTTCACGTTTATGTCTATTTGCACCAATGATGTGTATTACTTGCTCTAGAGTCGAGTAAAGAAGGATTTCAATTGACATTTGGTGGCTTGTTTTGCTGAATGCACTTGATTCGACAATGCTTATACAGCTTTATTGCTGGCGCACCTTTGTTCTTTTTTCTTATAAGTAAATAAAGAATTGATTGAATTCTTTTCTAGTTCTCGATTAACTTGTGTTAGACTATGACAATTAGATGTCATAAACATGAAAATTCTTGAGTGCTTAGGCAAATCTTCGTTTAATTACCTCCAGCTAAGTTAGCGACTTCTTTTCTGGAGCTTAATGCTGTAGAAGGATCATTTACTATTGCGATGAAAGGGATTCTTGGTCAAAAAAGTAGCAGCTTTCAAGTATAAATGTTCGCCTCGACTATGGTGACTTTGTCAGAATTTTCATCTACTTTCATACAAGCAAGTATATATAATCAGAAGATTGATATTATTGCTTGAAAACTACTTGATGGTTTGGAGATCCTTAATAACATAATACCAGAGAGTGTTGATTTGGTCACTCTTCAATTTGAGTCTTACTGAAATAAGGTGGATGGAATAGGATCTGCCTGTGTGAAAATGCTTCTAGGGTCAGTTTGATCAAACTTAAGATCCAAGGATGAAGTTTTTTGAACATTAAGTCATATAACTTTTAGCTTCGTGCTTGTGTTATCAATTATCTGGCCGTCTAGAACTGATAGAACCAGAAAATTAAGTTCTTTGAGTTCAGTTGCATCCTAGCATCTTAGAGAATAGAGTCGAAGCTAGAGTAGTCACTTCTAAAGAATTCCATAATCTGACTGTCGTCTTATGAAAAAATTCATAGTATTTACAGTACCTTTGATATAAATGAGTGGTTTGAATCCTCATCTTAGTTGATAGATAACTCATTTCCTCTCACAGCTGTTAAAGGAAGGACAATAGGGTAAAACCACAGAATATTTGAGAGAAGGCATGAAAAAGACAGGTTCTGTTTATTTTTATTTTGTTTCGGCTTTATCAGTTGCCTTAAGACCTAGAAAAAATATACTAAGAAGACGCAAAAGGAAACTATGAGATTGCAAGTTGGCATAATTACTTGCCAGAAGGAGAAATTTCTAGTTCTTACTGTCCTTTTGATACAAATGATTGGTTTTAATCCTTATTATTAAGGATTAATAATAAGGATTGGTTTCCTCTGACCTTATTATCAGGCAATAGACAATTCATTTCCTGTGACAACTATTAAGGGAAGGACAGTAGGGAGATGTTGATTTATCTTTTATTTCACCCTCATAATATCAATGATTTTAGCTTCTTTTGTAGCTTTTTTAGTATTGATTTGCAATTCTTACTCCAATATTGTCCAAAATTGCTATAGGAAAATGCATCAGGACCAGTTGGCATCCCTTCCTATGAAACAAGAGAGAAGCTTTTTCACAATTTCAGCCCTTCTTGATATTTTCGTCCTTTCATTTTGGCATTAAACCTTCCTGCCATATGGATTTCAATTTCCTGATACCATAATTATATGTACTCATTCTTGATTGATTTTGTTTTTACTTTTTATATCAATTAAATATAAAATGGTGTTAGTAAAATCTTTTATTTTCCGTCTTGCAACAATATATGATGGTGTTTGCCAATTAGTTGCACGATGTTGATCAGGCTTTGACACTTGTGTTTTCAAATTCAGCTCATTGCTTTGATTTGTTGAAATGACGGTACATTTTCAAACTTAGGTGGCTGGTAAAGTGTAGAGAGATTGACAAAGTGGCTAATCAAGAGCGGCCATTTGGTTTTGTAGATGATTGAACCAGCAGTGGACTGTGATGCCATTTGTGAGGTGTCACTGGAAGCCATAAGAATGAATTGTGCTTCTTGAAACTAACTTTAACCAAGGCCAAAGTTTTTTGGATTTGAAGTCCACCTCTACATCAAAAGCATGTTTGGCTAAGCTTAGTAAATAGAAGTAACTTTTTGTTCGCAAATATATTTAGATGATTTACTCTTTTTCTTACTATTAAAAATGTTATTTATCTGGAAAGTATCCTTACGTCATGTCAAAATAAGTAAAAAATAAAAAATAAATTCTAACTTTGACCAATAGAAATAATTATTTATCTTAAAACTTACCTAATACTTGTAAGTATACTTTCTTAGCTTTGCCAATCATGTTCTTACTGATCCCTATTTGTTTCTCCTTGAATATGTCACAACACTGTATGTTCCTTTTGTTTACCGATTTATGTAACTGGAAACATGGGTAGGAGTTAATCTGTTGTCTGGATTATTGTAGCTACATTATCATGGTTGTTTCATTAATTTCACGGTGTAACATTTGCACAATTATTGTTGCACATATGTTGAACCCATTCCCCTGGGCTGAAGAAAACCAAAAATAAAAATAAAATGCAGAAGAAAAAGAAAAATCCACTATCCGAAAGCAATGCAATTTAAATCAAGCCTGATGATATTGTCATCGTGGCAGGTTGCTCGTAACCTGGGAAAAACTTTACGGGCATTCCAACCTACAATTAGAGAACTTCAGGTAGCTGTTTGTGAGTCATTCCTGTGATTTCTGCAATGAGTTTAAATATGTTAAGCGCACCTGAATTTTTTTTTTTTTTTTAATAGGAAGTTTCGAGAGAATTTAAAGGCACGCTTGAACGAGAAATTGGTCTTGATGAAATTGAAAATCCAGTGAAAAAGAGTCCTTCATCAAATGCTAAATCCGAAGGCTCAGAATTGAATGTCGACCCCAGTGAGTATATTTCTTGAAACAATTTTGCCTGTCTTCTTACTGTTCAACTTCAGAAAGTGATTTACTTCTTCTTAATTTGCTTCCATAGCCTTTATTAAATTCATTGTCCAGTGATTTTTGTTGTATATCATGAATTCACAGCGTGTGAAGAATTTGAAACATATTATTCAGAAAAAAAGCAAAACATGATCCAGTGAGTTTTGGAAGATCTATAGATGTACTGAAATTTTGGATATTCGAGTCCCTGGTTCTTATATTTATAAGTTCCTGCTTCATATGCTCCCTAAAAATGAAGTACATAACCGATGTCTACCTTATTATGGATGATAATGTGGGCATTTATTTATTGTTTGGTAAGGTGGATTGTATTAGACCATACTAAAGATGAAATTTAGTTAAAATCTTTTACATGATACTTTCAATCCTGCTCTGTATTATGTTCATAACACTATATATTCTGTTTGGTAAAAGCTCTCAGACATTCTTTGGCATAGCAGATTTCGTGCCAGTATTTTCCAAATGCTTTTGTGCATGGAAGGTCATTTTAGCGACTTCCTTTTGCTTTTAAACCCATGTGCAGATTCTTTTCCCACTCTACATGTTGAGGGGAGGGGAGGGGAAGAGAAAGGAGCAGGAGTTTATGAACTTTTTTGTCTGGATAAATAAAGAAAGGATCTTAATGGGTTTTAGTATGTCTTTCTTCTGAAATATCAGATGGTTCTCCACCCGAAACCGAAGATCCCTTAGCGGTGCAATTGAGAAATACTCTTGCTCAGCTACAGAAAGAGCAATCTGAGGCCGAGTCTCAAGGTCGGCAAATATATTGCTTATAATTCTCTCTCTCTCTCTCTCTCTCGCTCTCACGCTTTGGTACAACTTGTTTCAGATACTGCACCAGAAGTTGCTTCAAAAGTACCTCCGACTGAAAACCCCGGACATAATGCTGTTGAAGAAGCTACATCAGCAGTGGAGCCCCCACCAGAGCCAGAAAATATTGCTGTTCAAGAAGTTGCATCAGAAGTAGCTCAGCCTGTGAAACCTGAAAGCGATGAACTTCAAGAGGTATCATCATCAGTAGCTCTGCCAGTGAAGCATGAAAGCAATGAACTTCAAGAAGTTGCTTCTGCAGTGCCTTCTCCTCCAAAGCCCGAAAACAAGACATGAAAATTTGAATTTTTTTTCTAAACAGAAAGAGTAAACCTAGTACTTGTCCATTTTGTTTTATCTAGCCTGTCTGGGACCAGTTACATTTTGTCCTTAAAAACCAATGCTAGAAATTAAGAGTAAATTACTCAGGCCAGTGATCATTTTACTAGTTTTCATTGAATTAATTAAATACAGCTGTTATACAAGTTAGTTTTCATTAGGAGGATTGGAATCGCCCAACGGTAGTATGGTAGAAGCGAAAATCTCATTTGTGATGGTACATTGTGATATTTATGACGTTATATTCTCTCATTTTACAATACTAGTCAGAGTTGAACATGAAATGCACGCTATTTTGAAATATTTTATAATTGATGCAAAAGTCATATTTGATATGAAAGGCCTTGATTTCTATTTGCTGCGGCATAAACAAAATATGAAAGAAAATAAAATTTAGGATAGTTTTTTAAGATAAGGAAGTTGTACTATTAGAATTCAACTTTTGTGATTCAAATTTATTGTGATGATGAAATATTACAAATGAGCAGCAATTTTTATGTTACATTTTGTACGCAAGAATTAATTGTTAATAGATGAATTTAAACCCCTCTTAAATTTTTTTATTTATAAAAGCTTTAAATTTACGTAGATTAAGATTCATCAAGTCAAAATTTATTGGGTCTAGATTAATGTGAATTTTAATTAATTGAGAATTAATAACTCGAAATTCATACATGACCAAAGATTTTGCATTATTTATTATATATTAAAAACGAAAAGTAAAGTATTATTGAAATAATTGAATTGTAGTTGAGTTAGAATCATTCAAAAAATGATTCTCATTTGATGAGATATTTAATATGTTGTAGATTATTGCAACTCCTTAAGGTCGTGTCCAAACTTAGAGCTTCTAAAATAGTAATGAACTTGTTGCAGTTTGAGAGCCAATTTAGAAATTGAATCGAAGCGAATTTTTTAATAATATATTTATAATCAAATGGTTCAATTTTAACAATCATGTTATATATACATTTTCTTTTACATCATTTTTAATATTGTCCCATGTGATGGTACATGATTGGCTAGTTAAAAAAAAAAAAGGAAAAAAATAAAAGGCATTTTTCCGTTCAACACTTTTGAATTTCTCCACAATGTACACCAAAATATAATTCATGGAACGTGCCCTTAACATAATTCCAATTCTAAAACTCCTCTCAAACCCCCCCCCCCCCCCAATCTCTCTTGGTATCATCTCTAGCATGTAGCATCCTGTCTATGATGCTTTTTCTCTTCATCTCCAAATCTTCACAATTTCTATTGAAGCAAAAAGGGATTTAGGAAGAATGGAATGAAATTCTCGTTCAGTCAAAATGATTATTAGTACAATGGAAAGCTTAAATAGAATTGATTAACTAATTCTAACAATCAACTAACTAACTAACTTGACAGCTGTATACAACTAATTTCTAGCTAATTTTGGCGCCTAAATCCTCTTGAGCTGAGCTCGTTGTTCTGTTGGCTGGTTTACTGAGCTGTCCGATGCTAATTTATTCTAATACGCCCCCCTCAAGATGGCCTATGTAGACTGATAATAGCCATCTTGGATAGTAGAGAAAAAAAGAGAGAAGTTGGCAAAGCTTTAGTAAACATGTCTGCTAACTGGTGTTGACATCGTATTGGCATTAATTTGATGAAACCATCAGTAACCTTATCACGAACAAACTGACAATCAATCTCGACGTGTTTTGTTCGTTCATGAAAAATAGGATTGCTTGCAATGTGAATTGCTGCTTGGTCATCACAAAAAATCAAGGCTGGACTTGCTGGTGAAATCTGTAGGTCAAGGAGCAACTGATGTAACCACGTTAATTTATTGGCAGCAGCTGCTAGTGCTCGATATTCAACCTCCGCAGATGATCTGGAAATGGTTTGTTGCTTCTTAGCTTTCCATGAAACAAGAGAATTACCAAGAAATACACAGTCCTGTAATGGATTTCCTTGAATCTAGGCAAGAGCCCCAATCCGCATCAGCAAATGCACGTAGTTGTAGTGAGGAAGAAGCTGAAAAGAACAGTCCTTGACCAGGAGCTGATTTAAGGAAGTGTAAAAGGTGGTAGGCTGCATCAAGATGAGTTTGTCGAGGTTTGGAAACAAATTGACTAAGTTTATGAATTTCAAAGGTGATGTCTTGACGTGAAATAGTCAAATATAGCAAGCGACCAACAAGTTTGCGATATGATGAAGCTGCTGTGTCAGATAGTAAATCTCCATCAACTAAACTTAGACGGATCTTAGGGTCCATAGGCAAAGATGCTGGTTTGTAGGCTAGAAATCCAGTATCCTCCAGCAACTATAAAGTATAATTTCTTTGAGACAAACATATCCCTTGATGTGATCTGCTATTTCCAAGCCAAGAAAATACTTCAATTTTCTCAAGTCTTTAAGTTTGAACTAACTATGTAGAAATGATTTTAAAGAGGCAATGAAATTGTGATCGAAGCAGGTGATGATAATATCATCGACATAGACTAGTAGAGCAACAAATGAGGTTCCTGAACTCTTTGTAACAAGGAATAATCAGACTTCAATTGATGGAAACCGTGTGCAATGAGAGCATGAGAAAACTTGGAAAACCACTGTCTAGAGGCTTGTCGAAGATTGTAAGTGGACTCGTGGAGCTTACAAATTGGTTTACCCTCTTTGATGGCATCAATAGACTCATTTGAATACCCCAAAGGCAAATCCATGTAAATTTCTTCAAAAAGGTCTCCATTCAAAAATGCGTTATTTACATCCAATTGAATAAGGTGCCATTGACTAATTACTGCAACAGCAAGTAATGTTTTGACACTAGTTTAGCAACCGGGGAGAAAGTATCAATAAAATACAATCCTTCCTGTTGGGTCTAACCTTTGGCCGCCAAACGTACTTTATACCTGTCTATGCTTACATCAGGCCCATATTTGACCTTATATACCCACCTATAGCCAATTGAATGCTTTCCCATGGGTAGATTGGTTATGCTCCAAATGTTGTTTGACTCCATGGCTGCTAATTCAGCAGCCATTGCCTTCTAGTGATCAAATGCAACAGCTTGGTGATAAAATTGTGGCTCAATGTTTGAAGAAACATTGAAAATAAATGTTCTATGGGGTTGGGAAAAAGATTTATAGGAAAGATAATTGGATAAAGGATAAGTAGAGTTGTTGGCAGGAAGCACTCGATTGGCTAGGAGATTACAATGAAATTCACGAAGATAAGATGGAGGTTTGCTCACCCTAGTAGTTCGTCTAGGGGCAGAATGAAAGGATTGACTGAAATGGAGTTTGAGCATTCTCATTATGATCAAAAGAAGAGCTGGAAGAGGGTTCAATGGTAGGCAAATGAATGGGTTGCATTGAGATATCATTGCTAACAGAAGTGGATGGTGTTGAGGCTGAATGATGGATATACGAATCAAGTATGATGCATGGTAAGACAACATCAGGGAAGGGGTCTGTTAACTCAATCTAGGGAGTGGAAAGTAGAGTGATTTTCATGGAAAATCACATCCCTGAAAACAATAAAAGATTTTGAAGATATATCATAAAGTTTGTATCCTTTGATACATGGAGGATATCCAAGAAAGACACATGCTTTGGCTCTAGGATAGAATTTATTCCTGTCAGATAAAAGTGTGGATGCGAAGCAAAGACTTCCAAACACCCTGAGTGAACTATAGTCAAAAGAGAAACCATATAGCAAGGAGAAGGGAGTGATGTTTTTTAGGATTGTCGAGGGAGTCCTATTGATTAGAAAAGTGGCAGTTAAAATACAGTCTCCCCAAAATTGAATAGGCACCCTAGACTGAAAGAAGAGTGCCTGTGCGACATTAAGAAGGTGTTAATGCTTCCTTTCAACCACCGAATTTTGTTCAGGACGTTGAACACAAGAGAATTGATGAACAATGCCCTTAGCTGCAAACAGTTCTGTGAACTTTAACTCTTGGGCATTATCGGACTTAAAGGTTTTAATAACTTTGTGAAATTGATTCTCAATTAGAGCCAAAAACTTAGGAATGATAAATGTTGTATCTGATTTATTTTTCATCAAATAAATCCAAGTAAATCTTGTACAGTCATCCACCAAAGTGAGAAAAAATCTATGCCCAGCATGTGTGGGAGTATGATATGGTCCCCAAATATCGCAATGAACCAAATCAAAAGCATTGTTTGATAGATGATTATTCGATACAAACGAGAGCCTCCTTTGTTTAGCCAAAGGACAAACATAACAAGGAGTTGAATTATCCCTCCTATAGTGAGTACAATCAATATGTAACAGACTCTTCAACATGTCTAATTTCTGATAGGACACATGCCCAAGTCTATTATGCCACACTTGGCTAGTTACAGTATTTGCTACTGTATATGATGATTGACAAGCATTATTATGAACCGAAGAATTGGAATCAATAACATAGAGGTCTGCCTTCCTCTGACCCTTGCCAATCATCCTCGATGTGGTCAAGTCATGAACCATGCAACAATTAGTGAGAAACTGGATACATAGTGAAGTATTCCTTGTTAAAGCAATCACCGACAATAGGTTTTATTTGAACTGAGGAACATATAGGACATCAGTGAGTATTAAGTTAGACGAAATTTTCACATTTCCAATTGATCGTACAGGAACTTGGACATCGTTTGGTAGCGTAACAAACGCATTTTCGATTAGCCTCAACATGTCAAAAGCTGAATGGTCATAACATATGTAACTCGTGGCGCCTGAATCTACCACCCAATGTCTAGATGATTTGAAGGATGGATTAATAGATATTGAGAAGTAGGCACCTGATTCTTTCCCGGAACTAGTTCTTGTCTCTGAGTCTAGTTTTGCAGCCTTAAGGTGAGAGCTCAACATGCTCATCAGATGTTGGTATTGAGTGGGGTTGAGTGTCTGCATAAAGTTACCAACACTTCCATCAATGTCTTGCTTCTGATCTATATTCTGGTCCATCTTAGAAACACGTTTAGAAATCTGATTAACCACAGCTTGATTGTTTGGACTAGATTTCTGTCTAGGTTTGTACCTCGGTAGATAGCCATGGAGCTTGTAGCATTTATCCACCGCATGACCACTATACCAACAATATGTACAGATTGGTCTCTCCTTCTTTTGAATTCTATTGTACTGTTGTCTTGTAGTCTTTTTAACATCATTTTGGATCATCATTTTTGGATTATTTTGAACATAAAAGGCCATGGATCCTGCTGCATCATTCACCATGCTTACTTTCCTTTGATTCTCTTCTTGAGACACCAACGTAAACACTTTATTGAT